TGGCCAACAGTAAAAACATCATCTAGTTGAGTAACGAACACGAAATTCAGCTAGATAAAGAGAGTTGTGATACAGGAGGGTTAAGGAACCTGATTTGATTCCTCTAGATCTAGAGAAGCGAGAGCGAATTGAAGAAGCCATGGATCTAGTCTAGAGCTCCACTGTGATGAATGCCTCACTGATATAGATTTAGGGTTCGTTTGATAATGTTTTTGTTTTTGCATCTTCAAAAAATCAAAAACAGAGACAATTTTTTGTTTTTATTTTGTGGTAAACACTAAAACAGAAAACATGTTTGGTAATCATTTTTGTCTATCAAATTATGAGAATAAAAACAGAAAATATGTTTGGTAACTATCTCAAGTTTTATCCTAAATATTTTTTATAATATCTAATTTTTGTTTTTCAAATAAATCAACACTTTTATTTCATAATATGGACAAGATATCCAACATTTGGTTCAATCCACTCTAAAACCTATTCGAACACCATTTTAAACCAATCCAATTCCATATGATCAAGTGAAATCCAATCCAGAGATATCCCACCTGGCAAACAAGCAACTATTAAACAACGGTAAAAGTTTAATATGACTTAAGTACAACTCTCAAGAATAATATTTTGTCGGGGCATTGGAGCAATTCCAAATTTTTTTTTTTTTTGGTAAAAAGGAGATATATTATTGATAAAGGACAACATTACAAGAAGCAGAAAAAGCCAAAGTTGGCTTTAATCCCTCGNTTGTTTTTCAAATAAATCAACACTTTTATTTCATAATATGGACAAGATATCCAACATTTGGTTCAATCCACTCTAAAACCTATTCGAACACCATTTTAAACCAATCCAATTCCATATGATCAAGTGAAATCCAATCCAGAGATATCCCACCTGGCAAACAAGCAACTATTAAACAGCAGTAAAAGTTTAATATGACTTAAGTACAACTCTCAAGAATAATATTTTGTCAGGGCATTGGAGCAATTCCAAATTTTTTTTTTATTTTTTTTGGTAAAAAGGAGATATATTATTGATAAAGGGCAACATTACAAGAAGCAGAAAAAGCCAAAGTTGGCTTTAATCCCTCANATCAAGTGAAATCCAATCCAGAGATATCCCACCTGGCAAACAAGCAACTATTAAACAACGGTAAAAGTTTAATATGACTTAAGTACAACTNGACTCACGACATTCATTACATCGCATATGCACGAGAACACATCGTATATTCATGGGTGTGAGTCCATGGTTGATATCAAACACCAAGTAGGTGGGTGATAAGTAGGCTCGGTACCGTTAAACCAAGGTCCGACAGAGTAGCACGGTTACATGACATGAAAAATTTGTGTGNAGCAGAAAAAGCCAAAGTTGGCTTTAATCCCTCAAAAGAAAGACAAAAAAATGCCTTCATCCAAAGTTAACATTGTCCATCATCTCAACAGCAACATGACCTACATCCACCTTAATAGCACCCCAAAAACAATGAACCTGCTAGAGACTTAAAGGGACATAAGCCCAGCTAAAAATCAGTTGAAGACCTAGCTATAAATCAATTGAAANATGTATATCATCAATGATAAATGTAGTACACTTGCATTGTATAGTGTGGTGAGAGCCAGTGAAGGCTTGAGTTGATGTGCGTGAGTGAATCTCGNATTGTCCATCATCTCAACAGCAACATGACCTACATCCACCTTAATAGCACCCCAAAAACAATGAACCTGCTAGAGACGTAAAGGGACATAAGCCCAGCTAAAAATCAGTTGAAGACCTAGCTATAAATCAATTGAAAACCCAGCTGAAAATCTGATAAAAACCAGCTGGAAATCCAGCTACAACCAGCTGCAAAACACCATGAAGAACCGAGCAGAGCAGTTACATGAAAAAAGCAAAACCAAGAATTCCCAGCTTCAAAATCCTAATAACAACAACTACCATCATCAATGAAATCCCATAAAGCAGTAAACCCACTGAACACTAGATGAGAGCCCCCCAAGAACCAGTTGAAAGGCCAGCAAGAGCCAAGCTGATACATCAACAAAACAGACAGTGCACATGAACATTGGACGTGAACAATGCATCCCAACAGCAAAATGANACATCAACAAAACAGACAGTGCACATGAACATTGGACGTGAACAGTGCATCCCAACAGCAAAATGGNATCCCATAAAGCAGTAAACCAACTGAACACTAGATGAGAGCCCCCCAAGAACCAGTTGAAAGGCCAGCAAGAGCCAAGCTGATACATCAACAAAACAGACAGTGCACATGAACATTGGACGTGAACAATGCATCCCAACAGCAAAATGGATCATGATGAAGCAGTTGACAAACCATCAAGAGCAGCTGAGGAATCAGCTGAGAGCCAACAAATGAACCACTAAAGCACTTGGACAGAAAGCAGCAGTATCAGAAACCAGCTGTTCATGTGACCAGTCGCATGAATAGTGCACAAAGCCCAAAGTAGAGAGAACAANAAAATGGATCATGATGAAGCAGTTGACAAACCATCAAGAGCAGCTGAGGAATCAGCTGAGAGCCAACAAATGAACCACTAAAGCACTTGGACAGAAAGCAGCAGTATCAGAAACCAGTTGTTCATGTGACCAGTCGCATGAATAGTGCACAAAGCCCAAAGTAGAGAGAACAGTCAGCAAAATGAAGAGTGATTATGCACCAACGCCCCAGCTCCATGTCTTGACAAAAAGATCACTGCAGCACAATCCAGCACCTCACATAAACCGATGATGATAGATGAAAAGAAGAAAGACCAACATAAGTTGGCTTTAATCCTTCAACATGGATCAAGGTGTACATCAAATCCAAGTAATGCATTGATAGACAAAAGAAAAAAGTGAAAAGAATAAATGTAACCACCATCAATATATCATCATCCTAATATGAACATCACAGATATTTCATGTATTGACAATTGAAATGCCATTAAGATAGCCCAATTACAAAAAAAGAAATTCTACTAAAATTCTAGCTGACACTCGAGTGAAATGCAGGCTCCAAGTTGCAGTCGAGGAAACATGACAATGGTATAGTCGCACAGATAATAGACATATCTTAGATGGATAGACAAGGGAGCTTGATTAAATTCACATCATCTGCTATTTAGTAATCCTAATGAAGCAATCATCTGCCATTGAGACCTATGAAGCAATCCTAATCAACTATTATTCAGTAAATATAAAATCCAAGATTATTCGACCATCCTAATGCATGCGCGTACAATATAAAGCTCCCTTTAATGGCCAAATAGGCTTTATAAGGGATGTGTACTAGGATAAGGAATCTCTAATCCTTATGCTTGTTAGTGCTCTTTTGCAATCATTATTTATGAATTATTTAATCAAATTCAATCCACAGATTCGACAAATTATTCCCTACCGGGAACAAAATTGACAATGACTGATAGAACAAGCACACGTCTAATTGAAACTTCATTATGACTAGTTGAGCTAAATCCTGAAAGCAAATTAGAGAAGTTTCTACTGACAATCAACTTGCTGATCTACCTTTAAAGACAAATAAAAAACAAAAATAAAATTAAATATCAATTTGATGAGTTTCTTAACAAAGACAAATGTCCAAGCTGTTTTATAAATATACAGGAAATTGTGCATTGAAATATGGTCTGTAAAACCGAAGATTTAAACAGAAGATTTCCCCAACGTTGATGCCCACAAATGCAAAACCACTCAAACAATTTAAACATATTTTTTGAGATAGCAAAACTAGAAAAAAAATATGATTAAAGTACAAAACTGTACAAATCTATGTAGATAAAAAAATGATTAGAGTCTGTAATGTACAGATCTATGCATATATATACAGATCTATGTATATATATACATATACGTATACAATGAAAGGGGTTATACTTATCTTCTTCGTCTTCGGCTTTGAGTCGTCTTCGTGTGAGCCTTGCAAGTATCTACGTGTGAGCCTTGCTTCGTCTTCATCGATCTGTGAATGGAAGAGAGAGAGAGAGTTGTTGAGAGAGCTTCGAAGAAGAAAGATGTATTGAGAGAGAGACAAGGAGAGACAGTCGCTGCTTACCTTCACAAAAGAGAGAGAGTGGCTGAGAGAACAAAGAGTGATTGAGCGATTGATCTGTGAGAAGAACAAGAGTGGCTGAGACAAAAAAGATTCCATATTTATAACCCCTGTTTTGAAGTGAAATTTTGTGGTTAACAAGAGTCGAAGGTAAGACCTCATTTAAATAATCCATGCATGTTTTTTGGAATAAAAATTTTTTGTTTCCATTTTTTTATCTTTGTTTCCAATACAACGAAAACAAAACAACACCAAAAACAATAAACAAACATATTTTTGTTTTTATTTTAGACAAAAATACAAAACTCAAAACAAAGACAGTTAACAAACATAACTTAGTTTTTGTAATTTGTACAAAGGTAAATAATCAACGTATCTGAACGACGTCGTAGTCCTATCACCCCTTTTTCCATTTTTCTATTTGGTTTTTTTCATTTTTCCTTCCCGCTTTTATTTTTCCGTTGTCTTTTATTTCCTCAAGTGTAATACTTTAAACTTTAGAGTTTAAGTATTATATATTTTAAATTTCTGAGATCTATATATAATTTAAAAACGAAGGAAGGTATTGTCTATTTGTTACTTGTGTATAAATTTTAAGGGTTTTTATGTAATTTTTTAAATTTTAAAGGTTCAACTAATTAAATGATAAATTTCGAGAGATTTAGGCATGAACTTAAAAAATAGGCTTGATAACTTCAACCATTAATTTCATTGTAGGTCACAACATTTATTATGATTCACTATCTATTTAATAGTTGAAATTATCAAATCTAATTTTTAAGTCCATCTATCGTTACTCTTATTTTTTTATAAATTTAATTTACATATAATGAGATTCTGATTCTAAACCTGTGGATATAAATGTAATTAATCCAAACATGTGTCGAAAATTCCAGAACATGTGATTAACCTTGCGACTCTGCGCAACACAATGGCGTCAAGGTACTGGGTGGTCTCTCTCCCCGTCCAAAACTCCGCATCTTCTCTCTGGAGTCGTTTGCAAGAATCCATCTCTAAACACGCCTTCGATACTCCTCTCTACCGTGTATGATCCAACACACACATAATATGTTCAAATTCAGCGCGAGATTTGGTATTGTAAACTTCAATTTCGTAGATTATCAACGGTTTTTCTTGTGAATTTCGCAGTTCAACATTCGGAATCTCCTTGTGGGAACTCTAGATTCGCTTCGAGCAATCATTGATGACCTTGTGAAGGTGAATTTCTCCAAATTCCCTCCAATTTCTTTGTACGAGCAGTTAAGCATTGTTGTGTGATTTATGCAATGGAAACTGTGGATTACTGTAGTCGAATAGCTTCATTGAAGGAGTGTCTCAGAAGATACGGCGTCAGATCGAAGAATTAGATAAGGTTTCTGGAGTGGTCAGTAGTTCTTTGACAGTTGATTGGGTTCCTGTTGACTCATACCTCACCAGGTAATATAATACGTTTTAGTTGGTTTGATTTGAAGATATTCGGTTGTTTTTGTTGTGAATACGATTTGTAATGTTAGATTTGTGTGGGATGAGGCGAAGTACCCGATAATGTCACCTCTTAGGGAGATTGTGGATGGGATTCATNCTAATTAAATGATAAATTTCGAGAGATTTAGGCATGAATTTAAAAAATAGACTTGATAACTTCAACCATTAATTTCATTGTAGGTCACAGTATTTATTATGATTCACTACCTATTTAATAGTTGAAATTATCAAATCTAATTTTTAAGTCCATATATCGTTACTATTATTTTTTTATAAATTTAATTTACATATAATGAGATTCTGATTCTAAACCTGTGGATATAAATGTAATTAATCCAACCATGTGTCGAAAATTCCAGAACATGTGATTAACCTTGCGACTCTGCGCAACACAATGGCGTCAAGGTACTGGGTGGTCTCTCTCCCCGTCCAAAACTCCGCATCTTCTCTCTGGAGTCGTTTGCAAGAATCCATCTCTAAACACGCCTTCGATACTCCTCTCTACCGTGTATGATCCAACACACACATAATATGTTCAAATTCAGCGCGAGATTTGGTATTGTAAACTTCAATTTCGTAGATTATCAACGGTTTTTCTTGTGAATTTCGCAGTTCAACATTCGGAATCTCCTTGTGGGAACTCTAGATTCGCTTCGAGCAATCAGTGATGACCTTGTGAAGGTGAATTTCTCCAAATTCCCTCCAATTTCTTTGTACGAGCAGTTAAGCATTGTTGTGTGATTTATGCAATGGAAACTGTGGATTACTGTAGTCGAATAGCTTCATTGAAGGAGTGTCTCAGAAGATACGGCGTCAGATCGAAGAATTAGATAAGGTTTCTGGAGTGGTCAGTAGTTCTTTGACAGTTGATTGGGTTCCTGTTGACTCATACCTCACCAGGTAATATAATACGTTTTAGTTGGTTTGATTTGAAGATATTCGGTTGTTTTTGTTGTGAATACGATTTGTAATGTTAGATTTGTGTGGGATGAGGCGAAGTACCCGATAATGTCACCTCTTAGGGAGATTGTGGATGGGATTCATAGACAAATAGCTAAGATCGAGGATGCTCTCAAGGTATTGCGGGTTTATATGAGTTACTTTTTCGAGTGTACTACAATTTGTCAAATTATATCCATTTGTATGAATGTCTGTGTGTGCTTATTATCTATTGGTTTCATTTTGTTGCTGTGATTCATGAACAATAATGAAGTAGGAAACACTGTCTGTTTCATTGATCTGCCCTGGCATATGAGCACAATAGTTTTACTTACTCTAATGCCAATTATCTGGAATTAACTAAATAAATCCCTTATTTTCCACTCTCCAGAAAGGTTTTCTTCTTGGGGAAATATGGGTGCTGTGGAGTTGTGGGTTGCTAATTTTCACGTGGCCCCCAGTCCTCCATAGACTATCTCTTTCCATATGATTCAACCACCTAGTTTGGATTTTTTTCCCTTTTATCTCAGTTTATTGTCTCTCCCTGTCTTCTGGTTTCTAATTTATCAACTGCAACATATCTTGAGGTCAGTGGGACCCTAAAGAAGTTGCACTATAGGTAGATGCTGTCTCAGATCCCTTTCAAAATCAATTCCTAAGATGATACTGATCAAGTTGTGATATTTCTTTACATTGAACACTAAGCTTTTATTTAGTGTTCTGATCATTGCCCTAAACTTAAAAAATCAATTCAAATATTACATGACAATCACAAATGGGTATCATTTGTGTTGCCTCGCTATGTCACTTAAAGCACCTAAGAAAATAAATAATATGGGCGCACAATTAACAGAGAACGGTTTTTATACTAGTATTTATGCTCTTTTAGCTTGTATATGAAATTTCTGGTGGTAATCATTTTTGGTAATCTGCCTTGACAGGAGAGATATCTCAACATAATCCATTAGTCTTGGATTCCAAATAGTAAAAAAAAAACGTAAGAGTTGTTTGGTAACGTTTTTATTTTTGCATTTTCAAAAAAATAAAAAACAGAGACAATTTTTGTTTTGTTTTATGGTAAACATTAAAAACAGAAAACATATTTGGGAGTCATTTGTGTTTACTAAATTATGAAAATAAAAATAAAAAACATGTTTGATAACCATTTCAAGTTATATCCTTTAAGTCCCCTATTTTTTCTTTCAACAATGCTAGTGAGGCTTAACAAATTAAATTAATTTGATGAATTAATGATATGGTTATTAACATAAGTTACTTTTATTTTTATTTCAAAAATTATAATGATTGATAATTGATTGAAATAGTGATGTGACAATTCAATCTCAATTACCATTCAATACATTACTTCAATCTCAAATGATAATTCAAGTCCACTCCCAATTCAATCCCAAATGACAATTCAATTTTTTTTTTGAAGAAAGAATTTTATTGAATAAATCCAGAATTACAAGAATCAAATGAATGAATAAACTTGAGTCTATACATTTTGGCTTTAATCATTCAAAATGTATTAAAAATCAGCAAAATTATTCCCATGAACACGATCCTTACAAGCAACAAAAAACCTCTTCTTCCTCACAGCAGCACTTCCCAACAACTAGATGTGATCCAGAGGCAAAACCCCTGCATTCCTCAAAACCATGTCCACTAGCACTTGGGAATCAGATTCAATGAAAATTTGATACACCTCCAAGCTGTATCTCAAAAACATCTTCAACCCATCAAGGGCAAGCTTACCCCTCTGGGAATCAAGGATTTCTTCGCCCTTAACACTGGTAACATGCATTAGTCCTGATGCAGCAACATCTTCCCATCAAAAGGCAGAACAGTATTGGTAAAATTAGTAGATGACCTCGTCCTGACTGCATATGACGCTAAAAATCAGCTAAACCATTCGCCTCCGTAAAACATGAGAAACCTGGGCATTAATTCCACTAAGAATGCCCCAGATCTGCACCAAAGATGGCCTTGCATTTCCACGGCACTTCAACGGTTCAACATTTCCCATTGCCATGTGAATCAATGTCTGAGAGTTAGACTCAATGGCAAAACAATAATCACCCAGCCTATACTGCAACACCATTTTTAACCCATCAAGTAAGGTCAAACATTCTGCCCTCATATTCGAACCCTCACCATAGAAAACAGCAGCAGCAAGAACTAGATGCCCTTCTAAATTCCTAAGCACCAAATGACAATTCAATCCCAATCCCAACCCCAATCCCAATTCAATCTCAAATGACAATTCAATCACACTCTCAATCCCAATCCCAATTCAATCACACACACCAATGGGCCTTTGGTCCAATGATACTCCTTGTCTTGTAAAGGCTTTACCTTTTTAAGGTCAAGGGTTCAAGTCCCCCTTCCCCTTCCCCCCAAAAAAAAAAAAAACATTCAATCACACACACAACACACACACACACACACACACCAAGCACACAGAACACAAGACACGGCACATGGAACACACACAGAGATCTGTGTGTGAATATATATATAGAGAGAGAGAGGAGATAAGATCATAGAGGGAGAAAGAGAGAGAAAAAGAAGGGGCTTACCTCCCCGTCGGTCAGAGAGAGGAGGGGAGATGGTTTCTCCTCGTCGGTGACAGTGAGAGAGACAATAGAGAGAGTGAGGCAGCGATGAAGAGAATAGAGAGAGTGAGGCAGTGACGGAGAGGACAGAGAAATGAAGTGGGTTTAAATAGTTCCACAAAAAAAGACTATTTTTGCTACTAAGGAAGTTCAAAAGCTGGATCTCATTAACTCTCTTAGCGCGTGTTTCTGTTTTGCCTTGTTTCCGAAAAACATTTTTTTTTTGTTCTTTGTTTTTGCGCCTTGTTTTCGAAACAACTTATTTTATATAAAACAGAAACACAAATCCAAACATGTTTTTGTTTTACTCAAAAAATAAAAACAAAAACACAAAACACGAAACAAAAACATAAAACAGACACCCCCGTAGTGTTTCTAAAGCAAATATTCTTGCAGTGAAAATCTGTATAGTTTTAATCTGATAAATCGTTGGACAGTTGCCAAGAACCTCTGCAGTTCTGCTGCAATACTTGAAACTATCAACCTTGAACTTGACTTGACTCCTAATAGACTGTTTAGTGCATGGTCAACCTCAGTGTTTGAAAGATTTCAACCTGTTTTAAGCAGAAAAGTTGCCAGGTTGCGCTGTCTGCATTCTCAAACAGAAATGAGGAAATGGTTCACGTGCATGTCCTGTGGAATATGATTGCTTCTCATTTCCTTTTTTTCCTCTCTAAGATTTACAAGGAAATTTCACCAGTTGGTGTGAGGGGCTCCAACTTTAGTTGCATCAGGCTATTATTTATTGGTTCAATTTTGTTGCTTGTTATCATTGTTTATGACCGGGAACTGGATTTTGACTATTTGTCTATGGCTTAAGCTTCGTCTATTTATTTCAAACAATGTTCCATCATTTGTGATTTCTTTGTAATACTACCATTTTGCTACAATCTTGGCTATATCTGCGTACAACATGAGTGTTAGACGTGAATTAGTTAGCTGGGTTACCTTTTCTATTTGGTTTTTTTTGTTTGCATTGGATTGGACATCTGAATTAGCTTAGCAACCTCTGTGCTTGCCTGTGCAGCCAAAGGATCTCTGTTGCATAATGCACCTGACTGAAATTTAGGTCCACAAAATAGGGGCTGTGCTGTTAATTTTCAATTGCTTATTGAAGCTTATTCTGAGTTTTTTTAATTATTTTTTGGGTTTTCTGTTATAGGTTCGTGTTGCTGAGTATAACAATGTCCACAGTCAACTCAACGCCATAAGCAGAAAGCAAACTGGAAGGTATGTGTTAAGTATCAGATTTACTACGACTAAATGATCAGGGATTCTTATGGCAATTTGTTTATGTGCTTCGTGGAGCATATAGTTTGTTGAGTGGATTAGTGTTTGTAAGTGGATGAGGCAGAAAAGTTATTTCCTTATGTGTCAGTATTCTTCACTGTACAAGTTAAACCTCTAAAGTCCTTGGACATCTACTACTGCAAAGTAATGAAAGAAAATGTTTCCTAGAATAAAGAAAACGATTTCATGCTCTCTCTCTGTCTATATATATATGTTTTTGTGTGTGTGTGTTAATAAAAGGAAATGGCCAAGTGATTTTTGTTAGAATATTAATACANTCCTTATGTGTCAGTATTCTTCACTGTACAAGTTAAACCTCTAAAGTCCTTGGACATCTACTACTGCAAAGTAATGAAAGAAAATGTTTCCTAGAATAAAGAAAACGATTTCATGCTCTCTCTGTGTCTATATATATATGTTTTTGTGTGTGTGTGTTAATAAAAGGAAATGGCCAAATGATTTTTGTTAGAATATTAATACTAAGGGTAGTTTAGGCATTTTCTTTATGTTGTGTTGCCCTACTATATAGGACTTACTTTGTGTATTTCTAGGTTTAGGATGTGTATTACAAACTTACTTTTAGAATAATATAGTCTCTCTTTCTCTTCANTGTCTATATATATATGTTTTTGTGTGTGTGTGTTAATAAAAGGAAATGGCCAAGTGATTTTTGTTAGAATATTAATACTAAGGGTAGTTTAGGCATTTTCTTTATGTTGTGTTGCCCTACTATATAGGACTTACTTTGTGTATTTCTAGGTTTAGGATGTGTATTATAAACTTACTTTTAGAATAATATAGTCTCTCTTTCTCTTCAAAAAAAAAAAAAAAAGAAAATGCCTCAACTACCCTTAGTATTAATACTCTAACAATTTTATGGTGACTTTTGACAAGCATTGATATTAGGGCCTTGATAATTGTTGGAGGTTGGTGGTTTAAGTGGTGGCAGAGACAGCGTCGTGGTTGGGAAGGGACACTATCATTTATTTGGTTGGTTCATCAGAGTTTAGCATGACCATTTACTTCTTTGGAACTATTTTTCTGATTCCAGCTTAGCTGTTCGTGATCTGTCTAATTTAGTTAAGCCAGAGGATATTATCACATCACATCNAGCTTAGCTGTTCGTGATCTGTCTAATTTAGTTAAGCCAGAGGATATTATCACATCAGAACACTTGGTAACTCTCCTTGCCATTGTTCCTAATTATTCAGAGAAAGATTGGTTGTCAAGCTATGAGACACTCACGACCTATGTGGTAAAGGATTGCTGTTTATGTTTACCTAATTTTGGTGTTAGTGCTTCTTAGTATCTGCAGTGATGTGTGGTAGCTGATTGCTACACTGCTTATGAAGTTGGCAATTTCTGATGATTTTAGACTTCTACCCTTTCCATATTCTCAACAATTGAGAGCTAAAATGCATCTTAGTCTTGTATTGTCTTATTGAATGCATTTTATTTTCTTCTTCCCGGATGTGGAATAGTCTTTTGCTTCAGTGATTTCTACTTGTTGATCAAACTAATTTTTTTTAGGTCCCCAGGTACTTTTTGATTGAACTAATTATTTTAGGTCCCCGGATCCTCCAAGAAGCTACACGAGGACAGTGAATATGCACTTTATACTGTAACATTATTCCATCAGGATGCTGACAATTTTAGAACTAAGGCACACGAAAGAGGTTTTCAAGTGAGTTTATCTCTCAAGTAGGGAATACTAAGTCCCTTCTATTTTATAGTTTTCAAGAATATATTGCTGCATCTCTAGCAATATCTAATATTGTGACTTGCTAACAACATGATATGGTATGTTGATGCTGGTAAAACGGTCTCTTCTAATGGACTGCATGTTTCATTTCTCGTGAGTCAGATTCGTGACTATGAATTTAATCCAGAAACGCAAGAAAGTCGGAAGCAGGAGACAGAAAAACTAATGCGAGACCAGGACACACAGAGAAGCTCTCTTTTGCAGTGGTGCTATGCCAGTTATGGGGAGGTACTTTCATTTTCTTAGATGAAGCCCATGAAATACTCATATTATTCCTGCTTATGTTTTCAACCATAATTGAACTACTAACTGAAATTGAACAATTAATATGGAGTCCCATAACAATGCCTGATTTAATTCCGTTCCCCCATAGCTTGGTGGGTCTAAGGACTTTGTAATTATTATGGCTTCGATAATGAAACAAGATGACTGACAATTTTAAGCGGATTTCACAGTTTATTCACTTATGGGTCTTGACACTGGATGTTATGGGTGTTCCTGGGGGTATCCTGGTAAATTGCACAATAATGCCCTATTTAGGGAACAAATTGAAAAGCGCCACACCTTTATTACCATCAGGAAAATGGAATGCGATGGAAGTGGAAACTGTTGCTTTTCTGACTACTGTAATGGAAGCTAGAAGTCTAGAATGCCAATATTTTGGTGGAGCCTCATACCTGAATCTGTTGGGCTGACAAGTTTAATTGAAGCTGGAAGTCTACAATGCCCAATATTTTGGTGAAGCATCTTACATGATCATCTGTTGGGCTAATAAATCCAATAAGGGTCCTTGGAGCTATCTTCATTGATTGGAAACTGTTCTCTTGTCTTCTTAGATACTACTCGGTTTATAATAAATCTTGGGTGCACAATTAGCCAAATTTTGAAGCCATCCCTTTGCTAAAAGGGAAGCTACCCGGGGATAGAAGTGCATGGAATTGTGATGGGGCCAAACTCGTTTTGTTATCAAATCTGCGCAAGGAAATGTTATATTGTTGCATCCCTCGTCACCGAGGGTGGGTAGCATGGCTTTTTTTGAATCCAGATCTCTCTGAGGAGTCTGTCCCTTATACCGTGCCATTCCAATTACTAGCTTTGACATCTCCTTCTACAGGTGGGCAGGGATGGGTTACCAGAATTTCGAGCCAGATTAACATTCCTAGAGGCTAGAGGTACCCACTTGGATTTGAAGGAAATTATTTTTCATGTAGTTCTTTCTTCTGATAGGTGCTTTCCCATGTCGTACTACTATATATTGAGGTGATTTCTGATAATGAGTACCAAACAATGTTCGATGTTGCATGCTCTTCATTTCAGTTTCTTGTTGCACATTCATAGGTCAAGAATTTTTGGTGTTTTCTGAAATCTGGGTCTTCTTAGTTGGTGAATTTACTAGATTTTTTATGGTTTCTTAGATTTCTGTCTAACTTTCTGGGTTTTCTTGAATTAAAAATTTACTCGATTTCTTGATTTTTGCATCTTTAATTCAATTACGTAATTCTGGGTATTTTATTTTCATGTTCTGCCAAAGAACAAACGCATGCAAATATAGGTCATTTGTTTATCTTCCTTCATCTTATTTTTTTACAAATTAACTGTAGTAAGATTGGAATAAGGATGTTAGAGGGAAAGATCACAAAGTGATTCTACGATTCATGAATTGTGGAATTATGTGCCATTTTAAAGAATTGAAGAAGGGCATTTCCATCTTTTCCCCTCACTGGGGCGGCAAACAAGTTTTTCCCTTGCTTGTTAACCACATAGTTGTGGGAAATACAATGGAAATACACACAATTCACGTAGACAGCAGTTGTAACTGTTACTGCCTCTTTGGAGTTTCATTTTAGTAATTTATCTATGCATTTTTTAATAATCTGGTTTTGGTGCATGTTCCAGAAGGTTTTTAGCTACTGGATGCACTTCTGTGCTGTACGTGTCTTTGTGGAGAGCATTCTGAGATATGGTTTGCCACCATCATTTTTGGTTAGTATACTTTGCAACTCTCTACTATCTACTTCAGACATCTTTCCCTTTCTATTCCTTTTTTACTTCCTGTTGTAAACTAAAATTTGGGCTTAGAGATCACTTTCGAATTGATTTCAGTCGGTGGTATTGGCACCTTCGGCGAAAAGTGAGAAGAAAGTCAGATCTATCTTGGAGGGTCTGTGCGACAGTTCAAACAGGTATTTGCCGCCATAACAATCTTAGAATAAGATAATGACTCTTGTTGCCAAATCTTGGGCTTTTCATGGATAATGGAGCGCTTGTCGATACAAGTCTGATTAAGAAATACTGATGTGATGATTTCTGGATCAGATTTATATTTACCCAAGAAAAAAAAAAAAGGAAAAGAAAAAGATCCTGCAGGTATCCTTTCTGGTGGCAACAGATATACCCTACTCTTTTTAGCCTCCCGTCATCTTTACCTTATCATCTTCAGTGCATTTGTGTGTGGCTGCTCTTTTCATCCCATCATCTTTACCCTATTGTATTCATCACATATGGATAATATGTATACCAACTCAATTCACTAAAGAAGTTTGCATCATAAATTTCGGGCCATTTTTAGTGTATTTTGATCAAGGAAAAGATAAATTTTAAACTCAGCACGTTTTTTAGGATCCCAGTCCTTTAACAATTAGGTGGTCCAAAGGTGGTCTAGGCCATTGAATTCTCTCCTCCAGGTTTGACGACATTAGTTGCATGGGATGGGCCATGTATTCAATGGTGTTCCAGGACCACATGAACCCTACTTTCTGTCAAACTTCTTACTGCTGTGTTTTTATGTGGTGTTCCTCATTTTTTATACACATGCAAATGCAGCACTTACTGGAAAACTGAGGACGAAGGAGGGATGGGCGGTTTTGGAGGTGATGTGGATTCATATCCCTATGTCTCCTTCACCATAAATCTCATCTGAGTGAAGGCATTATGTGTTACTGTTCAGTTTAAATCCCAAGTTGGATTGGTATCAGCCTGAGATTGCAAGTACATAGTGATGGTTTTTTTTTTTTTTTTGGGTGTATAGTAAATTATCCAACCCATAATGTATGTTGCTGGTGAAACTTTGCTTTCATTTTTTTTCGTTTTTTACCCGAGATATAATTTATCAGTTGTNGGTGTATAGTAAATTATCCAACCCATAATGTATGTTGCTGGTGAAACTTTGCTTTCATTTTTTTTCGTTTTTTACCCGAGATATAATTTATCAGTTGTCTGTGATTAAAATACTCTGTTCCTGAGTTTGAACCGGTGGAACTTTACCATAATCTTTCCTAGGAACAACTTCTATGGCGATAGATAGGTGTCAAGTTTGTTTGGCGTCTATGTCCCCTGCCCTCCAAACAATATGGGAACCTTTCAGCTCGTATTGCTCACACTCCTTGATGATGGCACCACCTCCACCATAGTGAGAGCTGGGAGTAGCTCCGAAAAGCAAGGGCTACTTCTAAATTTGCTTTCAAAACTGGTGTTATTGCCCGTATTTGTCAATTCCTGTTCTCATCCTCATTTGAAGTCTTTATGTACTTTTTCTCGTTTTTGAGAGAGGAATTGATCATAACAACTATTTGAATACTAAGCTGTTATGGATAATAATAGGGGATTCACAATCAAGCTCAAAAATATCCCCCCAAAAAATGATATATTTATTCAAAACTCCAAACCCTAAATCCAGTTTTAGGGGGCTGAATACTGCCTAAAACAAGGCTGGTCGGTGTCTGGTGTCTCTGGTCCTTGTTGGGTTTCCCGGGTCCTCTTTATATGTTGGGTTGTCTGAGTTCGGTTTACTTTCCAAGAAACTTGGCTGACACACGTCGTGCTATGTGTTTTTTGGTGCAGTGGTATGTACCTATTAGCACAGGGTCAGGTCCAAGTAAGACACTACGTCTTAGGTAATGACTCTGTGTCCTAACCGCAGCCATAGGTGAGGACCACAGAGCTGCGCACACCCCCTACTTCCCTTAACGGAGGTTAAAGCCCTAACTATCCCTAGGAATAAGGTAACGTAGTATCACTTGAACTAATATCTACGGCGGTTCCATTGAATAGAGAGACTCATTTTGTGTGTAGTGCTTTTTTCTTTTTTTTAAACTACAAAATGTTCAAATTTGTGTCAATCATGTATAGATTAGCTCAAACTATGATGATTAGACACTGAGCTTGAAGGAATAATCGATNGTGCTTTTTTCTTTTTTTTAAACTACAAAATGTTCAAATTTGTGTCAATCATGTATAGATTAGCTCAAACTATGATGATTAGACACTGAGCTTGAAGGAATAATCGATCCAAGTTTAAATATCTTGTAGGAAAAAAAAAAAACACTACACACAAAAATGAGTCTCTTTATTCGACGGAACCGTCACGAGAAATATTTAGATATTAAAATGTATAAAATATTGGATGTAACGGTTACATTACCACATCTTCATGTAGACATGATATAAGTGTTCAATAATAAGATAACATGTGGACAAATAAATCTCATGTAAAATAATTATTACATGATATAAATGAATAATTATTAAATTATATGAAATTTAGTTGATCATGTCTTATTATTATTTACTCGTTAAAAATGCGAAAGAATACATAGAAGAAAAGCAGCAGAGTACTCTCCGACATGTTCTTTTGACAAGTTGGCAAATGGGACAAAGTGTCCATGTAATAAATGCACCAATACCAAACATGGTCAAGTGTTGATTGTCGGACACTTCGAGAAATGGATTTTTAATTTCACAAGCAAGAGACTATATTAATGGAATTTGATAATCATTTTAGAAGAGATACAAAAATTATAAGTTTGTTGATCAATGTAGACAACATTCAAACATGACACCCGCATCTCAATGTCGGGGATATTGATTACTTAATATGAGAAATTCAAAAAATAATTTGTATGTGTTGATTATTCTTTCGAATTCAATGATTGATTATCGCGATTTGAACTGTGTTAGAACATGTTTTTAAGGGAACAAGAGAGACTAGTCTTAGAAATGATAAGAAAAAAATTGAACGTAAAATTTTTGAATTACTAAAAGTTAAACTCAACCGTTGAAAAAAAAATTACGACTTCATAGTCATTGTTATTGAACGTCTCATCCAAATAGCTATTCCCACCGATTCATTGAGTCGTCAAAGCAATAATATAGCCCCATTTTTTATTTTTTATTTCGGGGTGCAAAAAGTGGATCTAGGGTTTTCTCCAGTTGAGTCGTGGCATGTATATTTTCTAAATCGTACAATGTCAAAATTTATTCAATTTATTGATTTCATAGTGTACCACGTATATATCGAATTTAGTCGATTTTGTATTACGTCTAGTCAAATTTATATGTATTCACTAATAGAATAGATCTTATAAATCCACCTATTATTATCTGAACCCATTAAAAATTAATGTCATGACCCTAATTTCGTGTCAATTCATGTTGCATTAGCAAATTGTGTCTGAAGTTCATAGGCATATCCTTGGGCATACCAAGGTTTACATCCACTCTAATGATGAGAAACTCTGGGGTTTGGCAGGCCACCCAAAACTGTCCCTTAGGTGTATCCAGAAGCTCAAAGAAAGGGGAAAACATAGCAAAGTAAATCAGCTGGACACACCGAAATGTAAATCCAATGGTCCTCTTTTTTTTTTGTTAAACAGTTTGGGATGTTCGGATCAGTTTATGTGTATTCTGATTAATTTTTTATACGGTCTGGTCAAAGACAGATCATCTACGCTAAAATTAGAATATTCATACGTGATAAATTCTCTGCGACCTACAAGAGATTACCAAAATTTGAATTTCAAAACGTTTGGATTTACAATTCGTCCCTATTATTATCACTTGAACTACCTTTTGGGTTAATCTAGTAGTACTCCAATGATTCGAGTTCTCCACATTTTGATAAAGGGAAAAAGAAAATATTTTCCACAATGGCTATTTTAAGGGACAGAAACAAGCTATGCTCAAGCCTCAGAATAAAAGAAAAAATAATGTAATACTTATAAAATTTTTTATCTCAAGTGATGTGGTACAAATTCAAGTTCACATATATTTTACAAAATTATCTGAATAAATTTTTAAAAAATAAAAAATTAAGATGTTTCATAAAATGATCAAAAAGAAATTAAAAATATTATTCTTTAAACCATAAATATATGTATGTTCAAAAAGAAAAAAAAATCGCACTATATTATTGTACAAAAAATTACTAGATTCTACGCTCTTATTTTATCTGAATTTGCAATAACCCTTGACCTATTTATACATTATATTTTGTTAAACTATAATTTTTGAGTTAAGTTGATTTTAATTTAATCAGTTACATGATGAGTTTGTTTTGCAAGTTGGTTTTCACCTTAAATTTACCTACTAAAATATATAACTTTAAATATTTAAAAATAAAAATAAATAAATTATTCATCTAAAAATAATTTTAGTGCCCCATCTAAAAATTTTGCCTAGGACCTTAAGTATTCTTGGGTTAATCCTGAATAAGACCCACTTATTTTGTAATAAAAACTATCTCACATTACTTTAATAAAAAACTTAATTAGAAATTTTTATCAGCATAGCAGTGTGGTCNTCTAAAAATAATTTTAGTGCCCCATCTAAAAATTTTGCCTAGGACCTTAAGTATTCTTGGGTTAATCCTGAATAAGACCCACTTATTTTGTAATAAAAACTATCTCATTACTTTAATAAAAAACTTAATTAGAAATTTTTATCAGCATAGCAGTGTGGTTAAAGAAAAGAAGAACAAGTGGAATCAAGACTCTAGTCCACATTTGGGACAGCCCCCATACCTTAGCTGCAACACTTAGGACACCACCTCATTAAATCAATGTCACTTTCTACATGTCTCTCTCTCTCTCTCTCCCCAAAAGAAGACGAGGGAATTCAATGGGCAATGCCCCACGCCATGAGACTTGCTTCTGCTATGCCGAGTGGCCCCGGTCCCAATGGCCTTAAGCATAGCCTGCACCTTCCCAACAGTGGTCCCCCAAACCGGCCCCACTAAGGGCCTTCTTTGCATGGTTAATGAGTTTTGATAATTGCCCATTTCGTATCTTCCACCTAAGACCACAATGAAAGTTATGAAGTAAAAAAAATATATATCTATATATATCTCAGTAGATGCACTTGTTACTCGATGAAACTCCCCTTTGTTTCCTAGTGTAAGCTTGAGGAAACACAGCCGGAGCCCCAAGGGTTCTCTGTCGTCTTTAGGATGTTTCCGGGAAGGAGAGTTGGTTTTATGGGGTTTTGTGTGTGTGTGTGTGTGTGTGGTGTAGAGAAGAGAGGAAAAATAGGACAATAATAGATCAGAGTGAGGTCCACGCCTTTGTTTTCAAAAGGTTGATAAAAGCAAGGTGTTTTCTAGCATTGCAAAGTTTAGCGGGATTTTGGTAGGACCCACCAGAGAGAGTGACATAAATTCACGTCGTTCTCGTCGATGTTATTGTTTTTAGATATGGAAACCTTAAAGTCAAGGAATTTGAATCTATGCCGTCCGTACCTCTTTCAAATGGGTGGTCAGGATGATTATAGGTGGAATAAGCCGCAAACAAGATAAAAAAAAAAAAAAAAAAGAATTGTGCCATCCTTCCACCTATATAATTATGTCGTCATTGCCTTGAAGTTCCGTCAATTGAGTGCCGTCAGTCACTATTCTCAAATTCTAAACCCCCATAATCTCCGTCCAATAATATTACTCACCGTTAAATAATTCAATACTTCGTTAATCTCTACTGTTTGAATATGGAATATCATAACAACAAATAGGAACGAAATGGCTTTAACTCATATATGAATTATTGGGAAGGTCATAGGGAAGTTGTTCTTAAAATGACAGTCATGAGTTCAGTCCAAATAAATTTAAATCATAATTATAAAATATTTTAAGAGTAAATAAATAGATACAAATTT